AGTCCGTTTTGTGTTGCTATAACAGAAATACCTGAGACTGGGTAATCTATAAAGGAAAGAGCTTTATTTGGCTTATGATTCTGGGAAAACTGCTTCTGGTGTGAGCCTCAGGCTGCTTCTACTCATGGCAGAAAGTGGCAGGCAGACGGTGGGTACAAGTAGATCACATGGAGAGAGGAAGCAAGAGAGAGAGAAAGAGAGGTGCCAAACAACAAGCTCTTGCAGGAACTAATAGAGCGAGAACTCACTCTTTACTCCCCCCTCCCCCAGGGAGAACATTAATCCATTCATGAGGGATCTGCCCCCATGACTCAATCAGTTTTCAACACTGCCACATTGGAGATCAAATTTCCACATGAGTTTTGGAGAAGACAACACATCAAAACTCCATCAGATGGCATTAATCCTTTTATGAGGGTGGATCCCTCATGACCTTAATGTCTTTTAAAGGTCCCACCACTTCTCAACACTGTTACATTGGGGACCAAACCTCAACATGAGTTTTGGTGGGGACAAACCACATTCAAACTTGGTATTTTAGTTTCTAAGTTATCTGTTCTTCATTTTAAATCTACAAAACCAGGAGTGGGCCATTTTATAATTTCTTTTTCAAGGAACATAAACCAAGTAAAGATTGCTACTCTCACTGGCTCTCAAAGGAATTAACGTATTCTGTCCTTAGCTAAGGCCCTTCTGGTCTATCTTAGGCTTTGGAGGGGATCTCAGGCTTGCTATTGGATACTTGCCTCATTGGCTGAAGTTGGGAATAATGAGACCGCTTTCAATCCCTGTTTTCTGGGATTCTGACCAGCTGAAGTTCAGTGTCCAGATGGGGGAGTTGGGGATCACTTGTACTGGCAGCCTGGGTGAGATAGCAAGGAATCCAGTATATATCATGTCAGTATATACTTTCAGGGAGTGCTTTGTGACTACCTCCTTCATTGTATTCTCATTGCAGAGAAGTCAGTGAGGAGATTTGTGCTTATATGTTGGTCCTTTCATGTTTTGACCTCTGTTGGCAATGTCAATGTTATGTGTAGGCATGCTCATTGTCTTCCCACCTGGTAGACAGTACTTTTCAAAGCCTGCTTGCCCTGCTCATTGAGAGAATCATAAACAGTCTCTAAGCTAAAGGAGAATGTAGGGAGTATTCAGGCCAATGCCCTTTTGGGGTAGCAATCATTTTCAAGGCTGCTCTGACATGAGCTCTTCACATACCTCCCCTGACAGAGAGCTCACTCTCTCCTGAGATCACTTCCTCACTGATGGATTTTCATTCAACACAGTCCCTCCTCACACTGAATTAAGATCTGCTGTAGGGCCACACAGCCAGTTGAGTGACAGGCCAGGGACCAGAACCAGATTTCCAGATTCCCAGCCAAGTGCTTTTTCTGCCACATTGTGATGTATTGAGGTTCAAGCAAAGACCCTTATTTTCAGTAAGATGATTCACTAGCTGACCTGCTCCTGAGAAGATCAAGAAAGATTGCTGAGACTAGCTGCATGACCAGGAGAGTCAGCTGACGTGATGGAAAAGAATGCCCTAGTCTGGGAGCAAAAAAAATCTCAATTTGTTTCCTGCTGATCAGGAGCAAAAAAAAAAAAAATCTGAATTAGAGTTCTGGTTGACACTGTTGACTGTGTGACCTTGAGTAGGTCACTTTCCTTCTCTGAGCTTGCTTAATACAGAGAATAATACTTGCCCTTTCTCTCTCCTGGGGGAGTTGTAAAGCAGATATGAACTCTGAATTCTGAAGCATCGTTCAGAGGTATTGGAGAAGGTCTTAGTAGCAGTAAATGGACTCACATCCTCTTGGCTGCACAGGTTCGAGAGGCTTTGAGGAAAGCGGAGAAGGAGTTAGAATCACACAGCTCATGGTATGCTCCAGAGGCCCTTCAGAAGTGGCTGCAGCTGACACATGAGGTGGAGGTGCAGTACTACAACATCAAGAAGCAAAATGCTGAGAAGCAGCTACTGGTGGCCAAGGAAGGGGTGAGACCTGCCCTCCTGCTGCTCTCTTCTCTTCTCCTTGCCCTCCTCCCTTTTACCTGCCTTTCTTCCTCTTCTGTCCCCTCACTGTCCCTCCTATTGGCAAAGAGATATCCTGGTGTAGTGGGTTCTGTTTCTTTTCCTAACATACAGCTTCTGATGATGTCTTCAAGCTTCTGGAGGAGGGAATGAGGGTGTGGGAGTACTCTCACCTGTCTTTTGGGAAAGATGAAGCAAGTGGAGTCAGGTAGAGGGAAAGTTCTGCCAGTCCCAGGTTGCCATGGGGACAGAGGTCCTCCTGGGGCTAGGGCACTGTCAGGGGACGCTTTTCCTGTTTCTCTCATTTCTCTATTTTCTCCTTTCTTTTTTTCCCCTCCCCTTGCTTCCTTTCCCCTTTCCCTCCTTTTCTTCCTTTTCCTTGTGCAGCCTAAGTTGTGTTAGAAAGAGGGGTACGCAGCTACAGGAAGGCCTTTCTCATTTCTTCCAACCTCTAATCCCTGCTCTCTTTAAGCTGGGGGCCTCATCTTTGCAGGCTGAAAAGATAAAAAAGAAGAGAAACACACTCTTTGGCACCTTCCATGTGGCCCACAGCTCTTCCCTGGATGATGTGGATCACAAAATCCTAACGGCTAAGTAAGTAGCACTACTTATCCACTCTGGCAATGTCCATACCATCCTCAGAATTTGAGGGTGCACAGGGCCTCTAACCCCAACTCCATTTCTTCACTGGTGGAGGGAATGCTGTGGTATCCTGCCCAGCCTTGATCCAGCTCCCACCTTGCTCTAAGTTTATGAGCTCATTGTGTTTTTTATTCACATATATTCCCCCAACTTGTTCCTCTGAGAAGAGGCCTCATTCCTTTTGGGGTTCACACCTAGTTCATGTCTGCAGTTCTCTTTCATCTGTCTTCAGGCAAGCACTGAGTGAGGTGACAGCAGCTCTGCGGGAGCGCCTACACCGCTGGCAACAGATTGAGATCCTCTGTGGCTTCCAGATTGTCAATAACCCTGGCATCCACTCACTAGTGGCTGCCCTCAACATAGACCCCAGCTGGATGGGCAGTACACGCCCCAACCCCGCCCACTTCATCATGACTGACGACGTGGATGATATGGACGAGGAGATTGTGTCTCCCTTGTCCATGCAGTGTAGGTGACCTCTTTGGTGGGGATGAGGGAAGGAGCCTTTGATGCATGAGTGAAGAAGTCTGTGGCTTCTGTTTTGCTTAAACAATAAATGGGCCAGATATCCAGGAAGATAATTCAACTCATGACCTTGGTCAATAAAGCACAATTTGCATCAGGATATTTCTTTATAGTTGTCCTTTTGGTGGTTTTCCTTGCTATATGCTCTGTCTGCCCCTCTGGGTCTATTGTGTTAAGTGTCTCCCTTTATTTGTTTTTTCTCTTTATTCTCCACCCCCTCCAATTATCTACCTGTATGAAAAATAATCTCCTTTAGTGATTCACAATGCAAAAATGGCATTCATTTTGACTATTTATTGCATTTATTTTCATTTTATGTTTCTTTTTCTTAATTGCTAAAGTAGATGAATGGAATGATGTCTCTCTCTCTCTCTCTCTCTCTCTCTCTCTCTCTCTCTGCCTTTTTGTGTGAGGCCCCATGGGGTACTAGTCCCTTAAAGTGATATAGCCCTAAATCCTCCAAGTTCAAAAGGCATTCTTGCCTAGGAGGGATCTCCTGTGCCAGCACGTCTGGCTTTCCACCTGAATTCTTGGACCTTCTCATCCTCTGTCCTGGGTCTTCCCTCTTCCTTCCCTCCCCTGCAAGAGATGGGAGCTGAGTAGAGCAAAGCTGAAAGAGGCAACACTCTGGGAATTCTTCAGTGAATGAAGGGACTTACCCCTTATTGATCCACAGTTGAATTTCTCTTTGGATCAGAAGCTATTTTAGGTACATAGAATAGACCTTCTGGTAAAACTATTGTCCTGGGCCCATATCCTGCCAGTGAGGAAGGGATGCCATAAAGCTGGGTCTAGGTTAAGGACTCACTTTCAGAAGGCCAGATTCACTTAGGCTGGATTCCTATTCCAGGCAGAATTTATTTGTAAATTTCATCAGTGATACTTTGTCCCTGGCCAAGTCTCTTTGTCTCCCTGATCTGATATCTTGTCAGGACTTTAGTCAAAGGTTAGGATCAGTGACACATGCAGAGCTTGGTCTTGACTTACTGATCTAAATGCTCCTATGTTCTCCAGGTTGGGAAGGATCTTCATTAGCTCTGAGCTACCTGCCCCCTGCCCCCAGTCCTTCCCTTATTACATTGATGGGCAGGCTGAAGCCCTCCATAAATCAGATTCTCTTCTCCTTTTGGCCTGGCTGTTGACCCTAGATGCTGCCTGGCTGATGGGGCGTAGGTTCAGTGACCGCTCTCTCTGCTCAACATCCGCCGGCTCGGATGATCAGTCCCTCTGGAAATACCCGGGTTTGAGGAGCCCCTTTGGGGCTTTGGTTTTTCTGACTTTTGGGACTAAACCAACACTCCTACTCTATGGGCCCCTTCTGCGTGCCTCACACCCCTGCCTGCTCCCTTAATCTCAGCACTGTCCCTACTAACTGCAGGGAGGGGTTCGGGGGTGAGAAGAATCAGTCTGCTCATCCAGGGGCTGGAAATAGAAGACCATGGTGATGGAAGGCTTTCGCTTCTCCCTTCAGCACAGCTACACAGATGTCCTGGTGGCCTTTCTTCTAGCTGTGCTGGAAGGGAAAGATGAAAGGAAAGAATACCCCTCTCTTTTCTCATTTTCATGTTTCTCTCTTTTCCTCCCTGTTTTCCCCTTCTTCTGCCTCTTCTCCTCCCTGTTACAGCCTTCCTCTTCCTTGTAAGCCTTGCTCTCATTCCTTAAAAGCCACCAGCCATTGAAGTCCTGCCTCCCCAACTCTCTATCACTATGGACTGTGCTCTCTTCCTCCTAGCCTTTCTAAGGCTTCTGTCACCCTTGTAACCTGGCCCTTTCTTCCATCTTTAGAGAAAAAGCAGAGCAGCTCATTTAGCAGGGTAGAGGAGAAAGAACGAATGTCTGTATTATTTTCTCAGTTACAGCTGGGAGTGAGCCCAAGGGGGATGCTCTACCACATTTCTAAGTTACCTGTTGCCCATGTACCCCTTCACTGGGCATGTGGCCATCTTACAGGAGGCTGATTTGCAGCGTTGATACAAGAGCTGTTTCTTTGTTGTTTACATGCTTATTAGAGGAAATTTAGAAAGTAAAAAAGAATAAATATTAGCATAAAAAAGGCATCTGTATCCTACCATATTTGAGCACCTTTTCTTTCAATGTTTTGTCTGTGAATTTTTTTATGTGATTGAGATAATTATAACTACTACCATTTATTGAGTGCCATGACCTGTGTCAGGTGCTTTAAAGACATTATCTTGAAGTTTCAGAATAATCCTCTGAGATTTTAGAAATTAGGAATTAAAATGGGGAAGTTGCTCATGTTCACAGGTAGAAATGGAAAGGCCTGATTTCACATTCTAGTGTTTTGTAGTCCAGTGCTTCATACAATTTTGTATCCTTTTTTTTCCCCCTTGGGCATTTTAATAGGCATTTCCCAGTTCTTAAAATCTTTTTATAAGCACACACACACACACACACACACACACACACACACACATTTTTTTTTTTTTTGACAGCTGGCTAGTACAGTGACGGAACCCAGGACCTTGGTGTTATCAGCACCATGCTCTAACTGAGCTAACCAGCCAGCCCAAGCATAATTTTTAATAGCTTTATAGTCTACCAGCAACTGGCTATATTATTATTTTCCCATTGTTCTACCTTTACGTTTACTTTCATACAATTATTAATGATGAGGTGATGAACACGTTTAAGTCCTTATCTACCTTGTGAATTATTTCCTGAGATTGGCTTTCTGAAAAGGCTGGTTCTTAGTGCTCTCCCGGACCTTGCCCCAAGCCCTTATCCTACCCTGCCCTGCCTGTATCTTCCCACTAACCACCTTGCCACCTTCCTTTATAGTGGCCTTAGGTCTCCTTCCATTGGAATTGCTACTAAAACTGACCTGGGCACCTCATCTTCAATTTCCTTTCCTTTTCAGGACCCTTGGTGGGAGGTTTCTGGGAGGAGGTGCTCCATTCTCCAGATTGGGAATCAGATGCCCAGAGTGGTCTCCAGCAGGCATTTCTACATGGGTACCTGCTTGCCTGCCAGCCCAAAGTGGGCTGGCCCTTTCTCACATTTTCTTCATTCTCCTTGCAGCCCCCAGCCTGCAGAGCAGTGTCCGGCAGCGCCTCACGGAGCCACAGCATGGCCTGGGATCTCAGAGGTTGGTAGAGGGAGAGGCTGGCCACTTCTTGACAAGCCGGGTATCTCTGCGGCGAATGCGCAGCCTCTCATCTGGACAGTCTTTCAGTTCTGAAGGCTCCGGGACCAGCCCTCCATCTGCTTCTGTTCCTTCTTCCTGCTCCTCTTCCACCACCACCACCACCATCACCACCGTCCATGTCCTCCCTGTTTACTACCACCACAGCACTTCCTATTTCCTCCAGACGGAGCCTTACCCTGACCCACCCCCTTCTGACAGCACCACTGTGATGCCTGGGCATTCAGAGAGCTTGGGGTATCAGCTGTCTATCTTCTCTTTCTTTTTTCTGTTCCTTACCTTTCTGCTTCTTTTACCTTGTCCTCTGCCTGCTGGCTGCTGCTTGGTCAACTCTGGGGTGTGTGCAGTGGAGAATCTTCTCCTTGTCCTGTCCTTTCCTAGCTCTGGACTCCTTTTTAAGGTCAGCCTAATTCCCTACACCTTTCTCCCATTCTCTGTTTGGGGTTTGCTGACTCCAAAAGTGAGTAACAACCCTCTTCCTCATGATCTTATAGCACTTTTACCTAAACTATGCTCTTTCACATCAATTACCTCAGTGGGACCCCCACTCCCTTTACTCCTTCAACAAGCATTTATTGTTGTCTACTCTGTGCCAACCTCTTCTGGGTATTCACAGATGATAAGATACAATGCAGCCATTAAAAACTACAGTCTGGTCTGGGAGAGGTACATAAATAATTATGTAACAATTTGATAAGTGCTATGAGGGTGTTGAGGAAGGAGTGACTAACAGTGTGTATCTGGGTGGAATGTTTCATAAAAGAGATGACATTTGTGCTAATACCTGGTGTGCAGGGAATGGAGAAAGAGTCTTCTAGGCTGAGGAAACATGTGCAGAGGCTTGGAGGTTCAAGAGAATATGATATATTTGTGGTTAGAACATTAGATATGTGTTCATGGGAAGGGGAAGCAGATGAAGGGCTATGAAAAGCTAAAAGTTTTGGCCTTTACCCTCTAGGAGAACTGCAAAAGGTTTCTAAAATAAAGTGAACTGTTCATATTTGCATTTTAGAAATAACATTTTAGTGGTGTGTGTGAAGGAAGGAAGGGGAAGACTACAGAAATTTGGAAGTCATTGCAGTAGAACACTAGGGGAGGTAATGAGGTCTTGGGATAGAAAGAAGATGATTAATTTGGTGACTGAGTGTGGGCGTGAAGGAAAGGGAGGAATCTAGTATGACACCTAGGTTTCTAGCTTGAGTGACTGCCTGGATTCAGTGTCCTCAATGGAATTATGGAACAGAAGAGGGGACACAGGTTTGGGGATTTCAGACAGGAAAAGCTTATAGGTGAGGCAGGTAAAATGGTTCTGAAAGGTTTAGTAATTTCCCTTAGGTCCCACAGCTAATTAGGAGCAAGAGCATAGACTAGAACTTGGCTTACCATTCCAGGACACTCTTGGATATTTTTGTCCTTTTCTACAAGGTCTCAATAAGTCAACCGAAAACCAGTTGGTGGAAGTCTTTCTCCCACCACCTGGCCTGGCAGCTGCATGGACTTTCCCTGTTAATACCTCAAGATGATCAGCTAGGGTCAGAGGTAGTAGCCTTGACTATGCCTGGAACAAGGTTAGAGGACCCTCAAAAAGTCCCTCCTCTCTGGAAGTACTTCTCATCTCCAAAGTTGTGACCAAGGCCCAGTCCTGGCCTCTGGGCTGCAGGCTGCTTCCTCTGTGGCTTCCTTTTGTCTTTCCTCACTCTGGATACCTATCTCTCTGGCTCTGCCCCTTGAACCCATGGACAGTTATCCTTGAGGACTATTCCTTTTTCTTCCACAAAGGTACTGCCCTTACTAGAATTATTACTCAGCAGAGCTGCTCATTTTTACTCTCATCCTCATTTTCATCAAAAAGCCTCGGGAGGGAGACTGCCCCTCCCAATGCAGATGGAGAGGGTTGAATTGGGTTGGGGAAACTAGGGGATGCTGTAAATCTCATGCTTCAAGGCCTAAGCTGAGGGCAGTTGGGAGGTATGGTGGGGAGGTACTTGCATCTGCCTGGCCCGTTCACTCTTAATTTTCTTTTGCACCATGCACCAGAGGATCATCTCTAAAGGCAAACAGGCTCTCTAGTAAGGTTAGTAGCTTGGAATGGGAATCCAAGACAGCCTAGCCTTTGGGGAGGGACACCGCTGGCCTGAATGGTCTCAAAGATCAGGGAGGGAAGGTGAGCCTGCCTCAGTGGGCCTTTTCCCTCCTACATCTCCGTAGGCTTCCTCTGAGATTCTTATCTTATTTTGGCAGTCTCAGCTTTTGGTTGATGAGGGAAGCATAGAAGGATGGGAATCAAGGCCAAATGGTGCTGTAAGCCAGGAAAAGTGAGGCTGGAAGGGCCCCAACCTCTTGACTTCTCTTTCTTGGTGTTAGAGGGCCCCTTTTCTCAGTATGATTGTTCCCCAGAACTTCCTTGGCACCTGGCTGTGTGGAGAAGGCAGGATATGGAGAAGATCATTTTGGGGCTTAGAGAAACAAGGATACATTTAGATGGAAGTAAGGACAGTGTCAGATATATAAAACCAAATGAGACTGAATATTTGTAAACACTAGAGTATATGGCTGAAACAGCATTTGTAGAATGGAAGCTGGAGCTGGAATTGTTCTCTGTTATCCCCTGAGTCCAGGAAGTTACTCCAGGAAGGTACCATGGAAAGTATTAGTAGTTCAGGAAGGTACAGGAAGATACTGAGTCCAGGGAGGTACCATGGAGGGACTGCTTAATTACTAGTTTCCTATTGAGAATTAAATCTATAATAGCTAGGATACAACCCCCTGTTTTTGCCTATTTCAGGGGCCTGGTGCCCTCCCTAACCTCTTCTGTTTTTTATTTAAAACATTTTTTAAAATTTATTTTTTATTTTATTTTTTGGTGGCTGGCCGGTACAGGGTTCTGAACCCTTGACTTGGTGTTATCAGCACCAGTCTCTAATAAGATGAGCTAATCGGCCAGCCCATAAATTATTTTTAATTGAAACAAATTGATTGTACACATTTATGGGACACAGAGTTATATTTCAATCTCCTTAACTTCTGACTCTTATAGGACTTCTTTCCAGGTCCTATGGTGCTCCTCCCCACTTCTGACTCTTTTCCTTTGGCTTCCTGACTCAGATGTTTAAACATTTCCCTTAGCCCTCTCCTTTGCTTCTGCTGTGGGTTCTGAGGCCTCTGGAAAGTAGAAGGAGGGTTCAGGATTGGCAGAGGAATCCCATATCTCCCTTTTGTCTGTAGAGGCAGGAAGAGTGGCCTCTGGAATTGGTTTATGGTCTTCTTAGGAACAGCCATCCCCATAAAGGGTCTCAAGTTCCTGGACTAGCCTCTGAGTGTGCATGTCCAGTGTGCAGTGGCATATCCCTATAACTCAGCCTTGCAAAGAAGCCTGTGTTGACTAGCCCCACTGTGGCCCTTTCAGTTTGGCTGGCCTCATCATTTTCATTCCCACAATACTTTCTACATTTCCAACTGCTTTGCCAACATATTTGATCCTCCAGTCTTTTAAGATAATTGAATTGGTATTATCTTCATTGGGCCAAAATTGAGAAGCAGCAAATTTAGATGACTTGTCCAAAATGACATAGAAGAGTGTAGAGCTCTTCTGGAACACTGCTCCTTAAAGGCCAACATCCTGTCTTTCTATGCCTCCTTACATTCTCTCTGTCAGCAGAGCTCTGAAAGAGACGCTATCCTTCCTACTGCCACTACAGACTTTGATTTGAACTCTGCAGTACTTCTCTGTGACCTTATTTGAAACCTTTGAGAGGATTAGAAGAGGCAGCATCCTGGCCTTTTGGAGTGGCTGAGGGATTATTTGCAAGGCTGTTCTAACTTTCTCCTCCCCAGCCTGGGTCAGGTCCACTGACTGCATGTGCCCTGTTCCTTGGGGCCTGGCCCAGACTGGGTGTATGACAGGGTATGACAGAAGTAAGTGGGGGAGGAAGGCATGCAAAGTGGTTACTTAGAACGGCATGTAGGTTCTGTGTTAGATTAGGGTTAAGTCCTAAGAAATCTAGCCAGCTATGGGAGGGCAGAGACTTAAATGAGGAGGATATCTGTAGAATTTAAGCCTATGATTGCATCAATTAAGAGTCTGAGCATTCAGCAGTGGTTGGGTCCAGGCATTGGAAAACCCTTTGCCAGACAAATGATGGTATAATGACATTTGTTTTTGTTTCCTATTGTCTGTTTCTTCTCTCCCTATCACTTTTCTCTTTCTTTTTCTCTCCTTGGTCCTTCTTATTTCTGCCTATTTCTCCTTTTGCTTTTCTTCCTCCACAATTGTACTCTTCTCTGTCTCTTCCACAATCTATCCTAATTCCCTATTCCTGCCTCCTCTCTTATCCTGTACTTATGGTCTACTCAACTTCCTTCTATTCCCCATTACTCTGTCCTTCCCCCCTGCCTGTTCATCCTATTTATCTCTCCTGCTCTCCTTCTATTCCCATTTTTGTACCCTGTCCTTGTCTTCTTACGTTGTCCCTCTCTACTCTTCAACTTTCCCCTTGTCTCCCTATCCTGCATGTGTTCCTTTCTTCCTCTCTACCCTATGTCTTTCAGGGATTTGACCAATTCTGATTCGGAGTCCTCCCTCCACATGAGTGACCGCCAACGTATGGCCCCCAAACCTCCTCAGATGAGCCGTGTTGCAGACGAGGCTTTCAGTGCCATGACTTCCAATGGCAGCCACCGGCTGACTGAGGGGGTCCACCCAGGGTCTCTGGTGGAGAAACTGCCTGATAGCCCTGCCCTGGCCAAGAAGGCATTACTGGCTCTGAACCATGGGCTGGACAAGGCCCACAGCCTGATGGAGCTGAGCCCCTTAGCCCCACCTGGTGGCTCACCACCTTTGGATTCTTCCCATTCTTATAGCCCCAGTTCCCCAGACCCAGACACACCATCTCCAACTGGGGACAGCCGAGCCCTGCAGGCCAGCCGAAACACACGCATTCCCCACCTGGCTGGCAAGAAGGCTGTGGCTGAGGAGGATAATAGCTCTATTGGTGAGGAGACAGACTCCAGCCCAGGTCGGAAGAAGTTTCCACTCAAAATCTTTAAGAAGCCTCTTAAGAAGTAGGCAGGATGGGGGTGGCAGTGGTGGGACAGCTTGTCCTTCCCTGGGTCTTCTGCATCCCCTCCCTTCCCTTGCTTCAAGACCTCTTGCCCCTAGAGTGGGGCATGGGAGGGGCTGGCCCAGGGGCCTAGGACTGTACATACCTGCCTCCCTCATCCTTGGGTCTTTCATCATTATTTATTAACTGACCACCATGGTCTGCCTGCCCTGCCTCCCTCCCAACCATGGGCTGCTGCTCTCACTTCCTCTCCACTTCAGTGCATGTCTTAGTTGCTGTCCCCTCAGCTCCCAGCTCCACCTCTAGGGTCCAGCTTCTGTCTCTGCTGTCCCAGTTTTGAGGTTTGGTTTCTAGTTTCTGTCTCCTGCTTTCAGACTCCTCCCTCTCACCACTCACCAGCTTTCTTGCAGTTGCAGGGAAGATAGGAGGAGTAACTTGTGACACCTGTGCCTCAGATCTGTTCCACCCCACCCACAATGGTTCTGTTTGCCCTAGACTGGGGCCTAAAGCCTAATCTTTGGAGTTTGTTCTTTGGGAGTGTCATGGTCCAGAGAGAACCTCATCCTAGAGCTCACTCAGGCCTCCAGAGGCCATAAGGAGTGAAACAAATCCCCAGACAATAAGCTACCAGAGAGTTTTGAAGAGAAGCTAGGTGTGGGGATGGATGGGAGAGACCTTTTTTAGTTGGAGCCAGAGCTATGGGCTATAAGGCAGTTGCCTTCTCTCTTCTCCCACCCACACCTGCCTCCCTCTTACCCCTGCTCCCCCACACTTCAGGAGGGATTGTCTCTAAGAGGTGCTGCCCCAGAGCTCCTCAAGCATCAATACTCCTGGGGCTCAGGACAATTGGCTCCCCTGGCCATGGGAGTCACAGCCATGATAGAGGGCTTTCATGGGCTTTGGAGCTGTTGGGCAAGGATGTTGTCATATTTTAAACCAAAAGACAAAACAAAAGTAAAAAAAGAAATCTCCTGAATTTCCCAAGTGCCTACACTGCATACTTCCCTTATCTGACCCCATTTTTATGTTACTTCATAGCCTGGGCCAGAGGCTCAAAAAGGACACAACTGGTTTGGGGAAGGGGTGGCTAAAGAAGATGGTATAGGTCAAGGCGGCTGTGTGACCACTTCCCACAACTCTTCCCACCCTCTAGATAACTCACTCCTTTACCTGTTTTTGCTATGGCTATAAAGGTATTTTCTCTCTGTCCCATTCCCTTCCATACCTTTATCCTGGGATCCTATTTTGGGCCTGAGGTGGGTGTACCTGGGGCTGGTCTTAGGAGGATGCTAGGCTGCAGACTGCCTTGTACCCCCTGGACACCCTCACATGGGTTTTTCTGTGTTACTTCATAAGACTTTGAAGTCCAATAAAGCATGTAGGAGATTTTAACCTTTGCTGGCTTTGACTCTCATTGTGTTCTCTCTGCTCTCTGTAGCATGACAGGGGATAAAAAAGAGACTGTTCTTCCTTTGCCCAGAGAAAACAAAACTTGAATGCACATCCCCAAAAGCTCTCTGGGTAGGGTTACCAGATAAAATACTAGATGCCCAGTTAAATTTGAATTTCAAATAATTTCTTTTAGTATAATTATGTCTCATGCACAATCAGAAGCTCCTACACCAGCCTTGTATATTAGGGTTCTTATCGGTTTTTACTCATCACATTCAGTCACCAAGTCCATCCTACCTCCTCAAGGCAACAGCTGCCTTATTACTGACCCTGTCTCTGCCACCGTACACTGGAAAACCCTAAAAGCATATTGGTCATGGCCCAGCCGTGCTTAAAACTCTCTCAGGTCTCCTGACTTCCGTCCAGATGAAATCCAAACACCTTTGGCCTAGCATTGGCTTTTTTCTAACTTTATTGAGTGCCAGGCTTTTTGCCAACCTAAGAGTCCTGAGCTGCCTAGGCTAGAGCCCACATTGGACGGTGTCTCGGGGCTATCATAATGTAACAGTCAAAATAAAGAGCATTCTGGATGGTTGGCTTCTGTCATTTCAAAAATATGTGAACCATCTTGACTTCGGCAGGACCGCGCAGGCGAGAGGAGCGCGCGCCTAACCTAGCGGGCTCTGCGTGCTACGTCAGTGCCCCGGGGCCCTGGGATTCGGCTTTGCCCATACACAACATGGCGGCAGGAGAACCGCGTTCCCAATGTGGCCCTGGGAGAGGCGCAGTCTTCTGGGCCTTGCCCAAACTCAACATGGCGGCTACAGGGCGCGCGTAGTCCTGCCCATCCGACCCCGGGCGTAGGCAGCGTCGAGTAGCGCCATTCGAACTCCGTCACGTCGCTTTGTGCGTCGCGGGTGGCGGGCGCGGGAAGGGGATTTGGATTGTCGCGCCTCTCCTCTGGTGAGGAAAGTGCTGGCTGGCTCCAGCTCTTGTCCGCGCGTTTGGAGCAGCGCCTGGAGCCCAACCCGTTGCACTCTACCACCTTCTCGATCCCGCCGGTGCCTCAGAGCTGCAGCCCCGTCTTGAATCGTTCAGCGCCTCAGCCACTAGCCGCGATGCATGTGATCAAGCGAGGTGAGGGGCCCGGGAGGGGGGTTAGGGGACGCGGGCTGCTGCTGCCGGCTCCGTATTACCCACGTCCGCCCGTCTCCGCCGCTTCCCGCCCTTCTCGCTGCGGCTTCCCGCCCTGTCAGCCAGCTTGGCTCTCTGTCTTCCGTCCGTCTGTCTCCATCCCTCTTATGGCCTTCAATCTGTGTCCCCTCGGCTTTGCCATCTTTCCGCCTTTCAAAAGAATAACACAAGTAGTTACTTTGTGCGCCCAGCGCTTTCCAGACACTGTTTTATTCCTCGCTACAAGCCTCTGAGAGAGGATTATTACTCCACAGACGAAGAAACTGAAGCTCAGAGAGGTTTCGGTGACTGACCCAAAGTCACCCAGTTAGTTGATGGTGAGGTCAGGATTACCCATAGCTGACAACAGTTTTATTTGAAAACTGTGGGAACGGGCCGGCCCGTGGCTCACTCGGGAGAGTGCGGTGCTGATAACACCACGGCCCCGAGTTCGGATCCCATATAGCGATGGCCGGTTCGCTCACTGGCTGAGCGTGGTGCTGACAACACCAAGTCAAGGGTTAAGATCCCCTTACCGGTCATCTTTAAAAAAAAAAAAAAAGAAAAAAAGAAAACTGTGGGATTGGTAATCCGTCCTAGGTACAGGAGGGAGCTAGGAAAGAAGACTGTACCCTACACAGGCACCTGTCAGTTTACTGATAGCTTTTGTGGGGTGAGGATAGGAGTGTGGGGTGGGAAAAAGAAAAAAAAGAAAGATCCTAGACACAGACAGCACCCTGGAGTTTGCCCTTTGTAAGAGATTGTGTTGCCTATGTCCTAGAAGTAGTCCCAGAGGAGAGTTTGGGACAGGGACTAACTGCCCTTCCCCTTCATGGGAAGAGAGACTGAGTCAAAGAAGGGTGGCCAACACATGTTCTGACAGGATGGGGATTGGGAAGAGTCACGTACTAGTATTCTTTCTCAACAGTTATTTTCCATTAGACTTGCGGAACCCTTGCCCTTGATGTTATCAACACTGTGCTCTAACCAACTGACCGAACCCACCAGCCTCTTCTTTTTCTTTCTTTTTTTTGGTGGTTGGGGATCCGAACCCTTGATCTTGGAGTTTTTCTTATGCCTTTTTTTGTGCTCAGCCCGAGGAGACAGTCCCTGCTTTGGGAGTAGGTTTAATGAGGTTGGAAAAACAAGAGCAACATATACTTAGAGAGCCAAATGAGACAGGTATGAACAAGTTTTCAGTGGAATCTACTTGCTTCTTTTTAAAGCAACAAAATTATTTCAAAATTGTAGGCATTTAGTAAATATTGGTTGATTGACTGGATGTTTCTCTTTTGTCCAGTGAGCTGTGAACATTTCAATGATGGAAATTTTTCTGTTCACATTTAGCACGGGACATGCCATGAATAGGTGCTCAAAGAGTATATGGGAATAATTATGTCAAAATGTAGTATATGCGGGTAGGCAGGTAGATGATTTGGTGGTGTCCAGGTTGGTTTAACTACAGCCAAGAGATAGAGGTGGACAATGGTGGCCCTTCTTCCCGTTTTTAGTTTCTTGAGAGCATCATACTCTGAATTTCCCTAGCCCCCCATTTTAGCCGATGAGACCAAAGACCAAAAACACATTGTTGGTCCATTCCAGTGAGTGAGAGATGAGCATCTAGTTTTCAACTTCTAGAAAGAGATATGGGAGAGATGTTTGAGGATGGTCTTATTATAATCAGTAAGAAAGACGAATTGAAAACTATGGACTCCTTGGGCTGGTGGGTTAACTAACTTGGGAGAGCATGGTGCTGATAACACGAAGGTCAAGGTTTGGATCCACTTACTGTCCAGCTGGCCACCCCCCCAACCCCCCCCAAAAAGAAAATTTATGACTCAAGATTACCAGAGTGGGTAACACCTCTGTGTTGAACTTTTAAAACCTTTTGGCTCTAACCAACTGAGCTAACTGGCCAGCCCTCAAGTATTTACTAAATGTGCTAATATCTTGCTAAATACTGTGAGGGAAATCATAGAGGGAGAAGACAGCTCCATCTTCAGAAATGTTAAAGTCGTTAGGAATTTAGGAATAATCCATATGAGAATTATTAGATAAGGGAATACTGGATGAGTTTTTCTTTTTTTTTTTGGCAGCTAACTGGTATAGGGATCTGAACCCTTGCCCTTGGTGTTATCAACACTGTGCTCTAACCAACTGAGCCAATGGGTTTTTTTTTTTTTTTGTCAGTTGGCCATTATGGGGATCTGAACCTTTGATCTTGGGAGTTTTTCTTATCTGCTATCTTGAGCTATTTTTCCTAATGGGAGAGTATAATTCCTCAAGGAAATTTAGGTTAAAAAAGTACTATACTTGATCTTAGCCAAAAGGCCCAGAAGCGATTAGGTTAAAAAAAATGAAATAGAAGTTGAGAACTATTGCAGTAAATGAGAAGTAGCTGACTGAGTTGTAAGCAGTACTTTGAAATTTAGTATAGTGTTTTCAAAACTTTGGATTATAACCCACAGTAAAAAATACATTTCACATACATGTACATGTATGTATGTATATACATAAAACTGAAACAAAAGTTTATAAAAGAATATCTTCTAAAGCATCCATTGCACTCAGTCTCTTCTATTCTAGATCCTTTCCCTATCCCTCCCTCTAATTCCGTTCACAGTCCATTATATTATTTTACAACTCCATGTGCTGGATACTGCGCTGGCACTGGGATTATAGTGGTGAGTAGGCAGACATGGTTCCTGCTTTCAAAGATCTTATAATCAATTGAGAAAGATAGATAAATAAAAAAGTAATGTAATAAAATATGATAAATACCCCCATAGATAAAGTACAGGCTATAGTAGCCCATTCATTCAGTTATTTAGAGAGCATCTATTCAGTATCTCTTTATACAAGGTACTGTTTTTAGTGCTGGAGATTCAGCAGTGAACAAAGCAGGCTAAGTCCCTTTTCTCATGGAATTTATATCCTAATGTAGGTGGGAATGGTAAGTGTGCACACAAAATGAGTAAACATATAAGAATTGCTTAATTTGAGGTAGTGATAAGTGAGATGATGATGATAAAACAGGGTAACGTGATACAGATGAATGAGAAAATAACCTTGGATTGGGTAGTCAGGGAAGGCCTCCTAAGAAGCTGACATTTGAGCTGAGCCCTGAATAATACTAAGAGCCAGCTATGTGAAAATCTGTGGCCTGAACATTACAGATGGAGGGAATAGAAAGTTCATAGCTTGTAGAAAAGGCACATCTTTGGTCTTATAGGATTAGTGAAGTCTTCCTAAAGAGAGAATAATCAAAAACAGCTTATAACCAAGAGGCTTTCAATTAATATTCTAGAGGATTTCAGAAGAGGAAGAGGTCAACATGAGTTACAATGGTTGGGGCAGGTTTCATGGAGATGTGAGAGTTGGAGGATGAGTAGGAGTTAGATGTATGGAAAGGTGCAATAGGGACTTTTAGGCAGAGTAAGGTATAAGGAATGATGCATATGTGGGAATGGGAGGCCCTACTGCGACTTAAGATATTTCACAGGGAATAGTAGAAGAGATGAGGTGAGGCTAAAGTAAGGAAGACCTTGCTTGAGAGAAGAGGATAATGTAAGCAGTGAGAAACAGGGATTAGTGATGTGATGAAATCAGCATCTGGGTTGAAAAATTGACCAAGTGGAAGGACAAGCTAGAGAACAATGGGTAATTGGACCTTTAGACATTTAGTCTGCCTCCCATTCTCCAGTGTGAGTTAAGACCATGTACTTTTCGTCAGTTTCCTGATTAACTTCAGAACTTTTGGCAGCTGCAGAATTCTCTCTGCTAATGTTGCTTTGTGGTTACCTGTCTGCCTATAAAGCCATTGGTAGAGCAC